TTAAATTGTAAAATGTACTGAACTGCGGTCTTACCGTGTGTCCTCTTTATTTCTGACTGTGGCGGTAACCATTTGTCATTATTACATCTATTTTTCAACCCGAAAAGTACCGTTTAAAGATCATGAAATTTTGATATGGGGAGTAGTTAGCTAGCTGATTGTTGTATAGTATACAAACGTTTCTAGGCTCATGTATCTAGTTATCTCAAAAGTCTACGTAAGCTTACCAGCGAGACTCACTCATGGCAGACTTGAGACGCTAACGTCAACGTAGCATGTCCACACGTAAAACGTGAACGGAACAAGGCGGAAGAACTTTCACCCTGACCGTTTGTCAGGCGTGAAATAAATTACCTTTCCCATACGAAAAACAGGTGCACTTAATGCTTGAAAAACTCTCTTTAAAAAAAGGATTTTCCAAGATCAGCAGCTTTCTCAAAATCATTCCTCTTTATTAATTAATTTCTGCATATTTACAATGATTTCGTGGTTTGTAAGAGATTTTCAGTCTTTTTTAAAGTACTAAGCGATGCAAAAATTGATGTAATGCAACCATGATAGTTATTTTGTATTTTCTAAAATGCCTTATATATAAACGTTACGTGAAGATGAATAAGCCCACCAGCAGAGTTAGTTGTTGTCGGCAAAGACCGGCCGTTTAGAGAAGCTTTATAGAGATATTGGGGTAATTTTATTTTTCTGTCGTTTCAGAATTGATATAGTCAGGACCCATGGGCTCCTGTACCGTAACATAAGTACAATTTTTAGTGAAAGTTACCATGCAGCTGTATTAATATATGATTTTAAGAACATTTAATTCAATAAAATGGGCGTTTAAAATAGTATGAGCCTTTATCGAATGTAATATGACAGCTACAGTTTCGGTTTGATAATGACAAAAAAGCCAATTAAGTAAGTGCGGATCATATTTGATGCTTTCCAATAAGTTTACTCCTTGATTACTCCGATTCCTCATCAAATGTACCTCTGAAATGGTCACCAAACTAAGGGTGACAAGTGTTTAACTCGCACATATATCCATTCATCAACCCTTCATTTCGTCCAATTTCAGTACGCAAGTTCGCTTACAGTCATTCCGATTCTAATCAGCTAAGCACATGATATAAAGATTAAGAAGACTCCATGGAGTACAAATATTAAGTAATGATATGTAACGTGACAATTTTATTGGATGGTGAATAACCAATTATACGTGATGATAACTTCCCAAATATTACTGATTTGCCTAAGAATTGAGAAAGGCTGATGATACATTCTTCTGATTGTTTTCGTTTCGATTTGAGATTGGGGAAACAGTGCTTTTGCCCAGTATCCTTTCTGCGTGACGTGTTTGTGATTTTGCGTGACATGTCACGAGGGAAATTTCCCTGCAAAGAATCATGGAAAACTTTGACGTGTCAACGCATGCGCAGAATATTAACCGAAAACAAACTTGTTGTGCAGTCTTACTGCTAAGGTACAAGATAATTTGGCGTATAAATCAAAAATCTCTTTTAATGACAGACTGTTTGGTTATTACAAATAGAATATAGATATTTTATTGCAATGCTACCGGAGCCTGCAAATTCGTCTTATCATTCGCCCTCAAAGAAGCGTTCGCGATGTATGTCGACCTCGATGCAGTACAAGTTTCTTCGTCGGATCTTAAAATATCGGCATATGGATTTTGAATTTGCCCTATGGCAGATGCTCTACCTTTGCGTATCACCAAGAAAAGTGTAAGTATGTTGTTATTTCTTCCATGATTTCAACATACGGGGCGAAATTTTTGACTTGCCAGCTTATTTTAAGGTTGCCACGCTTGTATAATTGGCTGTGTCAGCTTGACGTGTCTGCCAGAAAGCGAGACCTTATAAACATAGTACCGTACATTTTACCTGCGAAAGCTTATGCTTAATTGAGAACACATAATTTTTTTCTAAAACATGCGAGTTTGTAGTCATGAATGACTTTGATGAGCTGTTCACCTGATGTGACGGTTGAAACCAGTTCATTTTAATTGGTGTGAAAGTTAAGATATACGTTCTCGAAATGAAACTTTTTCCTCTTGTTGATTCTTCCTTTTTTTGTCAAATTATTCTTTAATTTGTAACATAAAATTTCACTTTATTTTCTGTCACAGTTATCACACTGTCCTAATATTTCTAGCAGTTTTTTGAGAGCAACTACAGAATACAGAGCCACTGAGGTCCACCTCGTCGGCATGTTTTGAAGAACTAGGCTGAACACTTTGATTGAATGACAAGTTGATAAGTGGCCCTGTATTCTGTTGTTCTACTGTTTTTTGAAACATCAAAAGGTGTGCTCATAGGTAAGTCAATGCCTTGAATACAGAAGTACATGTACAGCACTAGCAGTAGACTTGGTAGTCTGATTCATCTGCTCAAGAGAAGTTCCAAAAAAGGCTGTAGTTGTAGACAGTGACAGACATTTTGAAAACCAGAGACAAAGACGTCATCAGTTATTTAAGTTACTCTGATAATGACGTGAATCTGATGTTGAATCCATTCAAGTTGTGGTTATGTTTACCATCGTCCAAAACTCTCTTTTGATGACCAACTGTTTGGTTGTTATGAGTAGAGTTTAGATTTTTATTGCAATGCTATTGGAGCCTGCAAATCTGTCATATTATTCACCCTCAAAGAAGCATCCTTGACGTATATTGACCGAGACACAGTTCAAGTTTCTTTGCCTCCATTGAATGCAATTAAAGTATGTGATCTGAGGTTGTCATCAGAAGCTAGTAGATGGCAAAAACTGCAGACATCAGTGGCTGGATAAAACAAAAAGTTACTCACATACATCCCTGAATGCCAGATATCACATTTCAGAGAACTTCAAATTTCAAATTATGCAGGAGCATGCCCTTAGACCCCCCTCCTAGAAGGGTGTATTGTAAAGCAACACCCCATACTTGCTTTGCTCAAATAATTATATTCATAATCAATGTTGTTCTTGGTCTTTTACTGTTTTCAGATACAGAAATTTTCATTACCACAAACGTAAGTACCTTGTAGATGTAAACCATGGTTATTTTACTCAAGTGACAAAAGCTCTCTCCTGGCATGGCTTTTCATACTCGTTTCCTTGTCAGATTTCAATCATCACTGCACTACTGCATTACTCACTCAATATTTAGACTAAACATGTTTTGTTCTTTTGGTAGTAGTGTATGGCAATTTATTCTGCATCCTTTATTTTATCAAATGACAATTCAGAAGACACTTACTTGTCAAAATGGCTCACCTCAAGGTGTACTGCTGTTACTGAAAATCTGTATATTTTTAGTGTATTTTTTCAGTAAAGAACATTTTCTAGAGGTATGTTAGAATTATATTTTTTGGCATGTATAAGCACTGCCTTGTTTTTTTAAAAGAAACTTCTATCAGAAGCTCGTTTTGTGATTATTACTGGAACATATAGTTGACTTTCCTGTCTCATACAGAAACAAAAGACCAGTGGGCAAGGGATGATCCTGCTTTTCTTGTGTTGCTTAGTATTTGGTTGTGTGGTAAGTAACCAGCACTGCAGACACTTGTTTCATGTATTAGTTACCCTTTTGTACCAGTATTTGTCACAGGAAAGGAGATGTTGAACATCTGTTTAATAGGGAATTAGATTTAAAATGGGGTTGGTGACAAGTCCCTGAACAGGATCATGTGCTCTTAGAAGTTCTATTTCTATATGACTGGAAGTAAATGGTTAGCGTAAGAAAAATCTAACAAGCAGGGAACAAAATAAAATCAGAGTCACCCTGAGTTTGAGGTTATAGTGGAATGGTTTTGAGAGAACTGAATGTGACTGGTTAAGACCGAAGAATAATTTGATAACTTGACATAAGTCAAATTGTCTTCAGTTTAGATTACTTTTAAGTGTTCTTCAGAAAATGGTATGAAAGCTTATTGACATTGACAAGTTAATTCTGTCAATCTGATGTAGCTTTTGTTCATAAGTAATTTTGCACTCAAAATAATTGACTGGTGAATTTGGTTGCAGTGTTTTGTTTTCCTTCAGCACTCAACTAGTCCTTGTTTCCTTTTACATCCTCAGCATCTTCTATTGGCTTTGCTGTTATGTTGAAGCTACCCTTTTTAGGATTTTTAAAGTTTTTATTATGGGTTGTATTTGTGGATTGCATTGCTGTGGGTCTCATTATCGCATCATTATTATGGTAAGTTAGTACCACAAGGCTATTGAGTTTGCTTATTATTTTGACCACATCCTCTCCTTTGGTAGCCATTTGGCAAACATTCTGCTTGAATTCTCGTCTCATATTTAAATGCGAGTGAAAGTCACTCACTAAAAATGAATCTGCTTGTCTTTGATTGCTTGTTGTATCTTCTTCTGAGCTTGTTTGATGGAAAAAATATTATTTGATGCTTTGTTAAGTAAGCTACTGTATCTGATAATGGTTCTTTTACCTCTATAGGTTCTTTTGCAACAGATACCTGAGGATATCCACTGCACATGATCCAGGACAAAGAGTAGAATGGGCCTATGCATTTGATGTTCACCTAAATGCTTTCTTCCCTTTGCTGTTAATATTACATGTCATCCAACTCTTTTGTATGAAGAGTAAATATGCTTTTTCTGTTAACCAGTTGTTAGTAGCTGAAATGGATGATCACTTTAATTGTGTATAGTAACTTGAAGTGTATATTGCATTTCTTATTCCTTGTTTGAGGAGTAGTTTTAATACTAACATTCATTGATGAGTTTTGAACAAAGGTTATCAATACTTGAACCAGAGTTGATATCAAAGCACAACATAATTATATTTATAAATATTTCGTGTGGTGATGGTTTTCTGATGTTTTGCATTTGTTTTCAAAAGCATGTGATGTTTAGATATGTTAGATGAATTTTCTAGGAAGCTGTTTGGCAATTCATGTACATTTAGTTTAATGCTAGTTTTAGGGAATCACTCTGCCCCTTTCATCAAAGGCTATGCAAATTATCTTCAGTTAGTCTTGTAGTATTGGAGTAGTACATGGATGTGGCAATATCCCAGGAGTGTTACTTTGAGAAGTACTAGAATATGAATGACTTGTATTATGCATTTCCCTTTTGCAAAGCTAGGCAAAAGGTCTGT